GGGGTTCCAGCCACTCGGACTCGGAACACAATTGAGCTAAAGTGGACAATGTTCTTTCGCAAAGCACCAGCCCTACTTGGTGATTCCATTCACCAACAAAATGAAGCATTGTTCCAACTGTGATTCGGCCTTTGTGAGTCATAAAAGGGCTCTCAGAGGTTCACTCTGTCTTCTCTTGTCTCATCTTGTGGGTGGTTGGGAACCGCGTGGTCACGTGATCGTGTGGGTCGTTTAACCGGCTGCTGCGTGTGCGTCTAAGTATCTCTTGCGTCTAGTCCCCCGATCGTGTACGTATCGTTGTCCGTTTGCGAGCGTACCATCCGAATAGGTGCGTGAATAGAGTCCGTGCTTAGGTTGCGCGTAACTCTCGTTTAAGCTTACGCGATTATTACTGCACAAATCCGTTACAGTGGGCTTCTATAATGCTTACGGTTGATGATTGTTCCATCTATATGAAAACGTTCGCTCTTTTTCGCAAACACTAACCCCCGAGGCAACACCCTTCGGAGGGTAATTTGGATCCATGGACACAGATCGATTACATCCGTACCAATTTTCGCTAGAGTGGCTGCGTCCAAAACTGTCGCTCAATTTGGAGCACGAGACTGGACTCCGACCATATATGTGCCGATCTGCGTATGCGTTTCATCGGACGCAGTGAGCGTATAGCTATTTTCTAACTGGCGAAGTCCGATTTTCTGTATGCGTATCAACTTGTACTGGCATTTGGATTAATTAAGCGCTTATTGGGCACAGTCGAGTCACTGGTCGTATGTTCACCAGACCTTATTGGCAGCAGGCATGCTTTCATGTGGTGTATACGCAATGTTTTGAACCTCTGGACGCTGGTTCACACATTCCGGCTAGGAGCAAACACAAATAGGGTGTCAAAAACACGTGCGAAACTGACGAGAGAGCGTCAAATATGATAGTACCATAGAATATGAAAATAGCCAATGCCCCTGGTAACCATCGGAAGTATTTCGTCTGATACGGGAAACGGACAACCTTAGACATGGTGTTTGCGAAGTTAACTGTGACGAGAGTGGACAGTTCATTCGCAACGTCTCTAAACGCTTGAAGCATTAAGCTGAGCACTTTGAAAAGGTACTTAATGTACCAGAACTACCTATCCTGCTGCCAACCAGTAATCACCCTAGTCTGCGCCATCTCACACAGAGGTCGAACATTTCCGTTTTGTGTCGCCTAATTTGACGACTAGGTCTTAAAAATCCCATTCACTGGAAGCGACTTAGAGGAGTTGGAGTTCATCCCAGGTGATGATTGTCTTGATTTAGATTATATTGACGGTATTGTTCTAATTTTTAACAACTCATAAACATAACAATAAGCTCTGGACCAATTAACATTGGTTGTCAATCGTTTCAGACTATGCTTTGCAGAGTTTTTCTCCAGAATTGGTATCAATAACCGGCTTCGCTGTTTCTTGATGGTGATCAGCTACAAGTCCTTCATAATTTCAGCGACCTGGCAGCTGTAACAGTGCCTGTGGAACAGAAAAGTAGTGGCAAGCCATACAGCAAAACCTCGAGGTGCTTTTGCCTTACCTTCGCCACTTACGGCGCCGACTCGACATCACCCTCACCCTGAAAGATAGAATTTGCATTGCGGCCACTCTTTCAACCTAATGTACGATTGTGAAGCGTAGGCCATCCAATCGACAGATGCAACAAGGCTAGTTACATCCAACCACATGTGCCTCCGCAATTGGGCTCATAACGGGTGGACACACCGAGAGAGAGAGATGAGCGTGTTTGCTGTCTTGTTTCCTTACCAAGAAAGATCAGGTGAACCGCTCAACACCACTATCTCCCTTACTAGGCTTCATTGGCTGAATCATGTATTACACATTGCAGCACACGAAATCCCGCATCGTTTCTGCGACCGGGATCTGGATGAAAGAAAAGGAAAGGTGGCCAACCATTGACTACTGGAGGAATGAGGGCCCTGACTTCGAATTTGCCACGGTTGGAGCTTCTGCACTTCCTGGTTAGGTCCAAAAAAGTAATGAACGCGTTTGGTTGGATAAAGTTATTGATAAGTCTCCGTACACCTGACCTGATGCCAAATATGGCGTATTCGATCGGATCCTGATGAGCTCTGTTTCTTTCTGTGGCATATGCAGCGCTATTAGTATGCATCGAAATTGCGCTCAATTTCTGTCTTTTTGTCGTCAGCTCTGTTCTTTTGCATGATGGTTGAAGCATTTTTCACCCTTAGTTGACTTATAGTATTATGATGTGGATGATTAAAGTTCCAAAGCGTATAGTTGCTGATAGTTAGTGTCAGCTAAATGTTTTTGAGTTGTCGTTTGTTCCGTGAATCTGATCACCATGTGGCGGGTGGCGTAGGCGTATGCCTTACAATCTACATGTCACTACTTTGCCCATGTGCGGGTGACATCCCAGTATCCATATCTCCCACACAACCATCCGGGATCCCGTGGCAGCGAAGCGCCAGTACAGTATGCTGGCGTACTTCCTTTACCCACTATCACATCTTTCAACCCGAGATTTAAAAAGGCATCATCAGTACGCCGGTACGCAGCATCGCGCATCCACCACCGGTCGCACGTGCGGTAAGGATTTTGCGAAGGTCGCCTAGTCCCTTGGCAGTTTCGAACCCGCGCCCTCAGACTACAAGCCAGGCTTGTGATCCTTAAGGCTATGGGCTGGCTCAACCCGAGATTCATCATCATTATACAGGTTAGCTGCAGATGGAAAACACCTCAGCTATTGTGCCGCAATACAAATAACAAGAGAGGGCGCCGGCTGAGTCCCCAGTAGCGGATGGACATCGTTCCAGAGGGCTAACGGTCGGCTATCGTGTCGCAAAAAGAGTTTTATCACGCCTAACTGCAAGCACACAATATAAACGTTAGCTAGAGGTGGGAAACACCTAAGCTACTACGCCGCAATACCTAAAAGAAAAAGGAGAATAAAATGCAACAGGTGCAAGCCAGCTGAGCTATCGGTAACTGATGGGCATTGTTCCGGTAAGCTACCTGCCGGCTACTATGCCGCAGAAAAAAATAATTTTCTATGCAAAATTATAAACTGCTAAATAATGATATCGTGGTTGGAGGGGGGGGCTAAGGGGGGTGGGGTGGAACAAAAAAACTCACAGCACGAACGCCGCTGAGGTCGGCTCCTTGCTATAGCAACAAGTATATCCAGTCAAACGTGTTCATCATCTTTCGGACCCCAACCCGGGAGCCGAGACGCTCCAACAGAGGCCAGCTTCGTAGTGAGGGCCTACATTCCTCTCGACCAAGTCATCGCTTGGTCATCTGTCCTTTTCTCCCATCCACACGCCAGGCGCGCAAACAACGCACGTCGCGGGAGTCGGTGGGCTGGCATGTGTAACACGTGGCCGAGCCATCGGAGCCTTGTACGTGAAATAACGGTGCTGAGCGGTTCAGTTCCTTTTTCTGTGCCGTAAACAAAGCGTCGAACACGCTCGTTGCTCACGCGGTGTTCCCACCAGATGTGAGCTAAATTGCGAAGGCACTGGTGGTCGAACTTAACTAGCCTCTTTATGTCCGCTAATCTAGGAGGCCAGGTGTCACAACCGTAGGGTCGAACGTACCGCTGCATTGTACTCTGTACCCTTCAGGTCGAGAGTGATGCTCCGGCGTCGTAAGTGGCGAAGGTTAGCAAAAGCACCCCGAGCTTCTGCTATACGGTTCGTGATCTCACCTTCTATCCCAGGGGCGGTGATACAAATTCCAAGGTAGTTGAATTTTTGCACGACTTCTAGCTGATCGCCACCAGGGGTCAGCGAAGGAGGTGATCCAGGCCAATCTTGGAGGAATGCTTTGAACTTCGATTGTGCAAAGCAAAGCAAAGTAACTCGTATGAATCATCCACAAGAGCAGTTCCCCCGCATTTGACGAGAGCTTGAGGTAGGTCATCTGGTTCTGCGGCTTTTTTTTAACTTAAACGGTGCGATCTCACGTTCGACTTCTGAGCGAGAGGGTGGATCCAAAGGAACAGCCCAGGGAGGGGGGTGATCCGTGGCCGGTGAGAAATCTAACCATTCCGACCGGTTAAATTGCCTTTCAAAGTGCTTTGCCCAACGCTCTAAGCGTTTTGATAAGTTGTGGATAGGCTGTCCACTCTCGTCACGTATAGTTTCACTAACAACAGGCCTTCTGCTGCCTGTTTCCCGTATCAGACGGAATAACTTACGATGGTTACCATGGGCAGCGGCCACTTCCATCTCTGATGCACCATGAGACCACCAGGATTCGCGGTCTCTCTTCAGGCTAGCACGGAGTTTTGCCCGGAGCTCTTTGCGAGTTTCATTGTGTTCGCTTCCAGCCGGAATACGCCGGCGAGCATCGATAAATTCCAGAGACTGCGAAGAGACCCAATGTCTATGTTGGCGATTAGACTTACCACATGAGGATTTTCCTGCTGCTAGTAAGGTCTGGTGAATATGAGACTAGTGAGCTTTAACTGCATCCACTGAGCGCTTACTCAACTCGCATGACAGCGTACTTTGATATGCATTCAAAACAGCTGGTTTCTCCAGTTGGCTGTTTGCCTCTACGATGACAACCCGAGATTGGGTAACGATTATTACATAGAATGCCTTGTTACTTTTAACTGGCCTTTAACCCTTACTCTTTTTGTCACCGGCCTGTACTTTGTTCAACAGATACATGCCCTCTTTCAAATACTCTTCCGGGAATTTATGTTTGTTATCGCTATGAGTCTCCAAGCTTCGCATCTGCGTTGGACATCTAGTTGTCGGTCCTCACCATTTCCATACTGTCACTATTTCTGTTCTGTTACAAGTAGAAATCACTTTTGCACTTACGTCTTTCACCTTACTCTCTGCTTTATTCTTTTTTGGTGTACAGTAGGACACTTTATGTTATTCATTACGTTTTGTGTTTGAGTATGCGTGTATGTTTGAAAAGTACCTCTTGTAAGTCGAATTACTCATCCTGCTATTTTCAGATACCTCGCTCTATGGCCACTAGCCTTTATGATGATTTGGATGTACTTGACGGTGTTCCCCTCACCGACGCTGACATTGGAGGTTCTTCTCCTTCATCTGGCGCGCCGTTAGTTGGCCTCCGAGTGGCTGCAAACTGGAGTGCGTCTGATGAAGAATCTCCAAGCGTGTATGGTCCTGGAGCGAGCACAACAAATGCGCAAACGAGGTGAGCTTCATACCCACTCTAGCGTCACTGCATCTTTTCTTGGTCTACCAAATGCATAGTTTCCCTTTTCGTTTTTTAAGATTCATATATGAGGCTAGAGACCGCTCCACTTTTTGACCTTGACATAAGACCCCATGCTATGGTTATATTATCCCCCCTCCTGTTTACATGCCCATGTAATTGTTCTTTTCGAGCTATACCTGCACTCAATACTCATAACACAGAGACACGTTTTATTGGTTAGGAGTAGCCTTTAGCCTGCATTTATGGAGTAGTGTTGCAACTTAGTGCTCTTTCGATGCTACTGAATCTTTGCCTGCCTCCGCACTGTTTATTTGCAACCGGAACGAAACGAATCCTGTTAGGTGGCTCTGAATTCTAAACAGCGTATCTCTGCGATCGCTATTACTCTTCGATCATCCACACACACTTGTGGGCTAGCTCCACGGATCGCGGCGTATACAGTGCAATTCACACTCCAACTCTGGGGTTCCAGCGAATTTGTCCTCCGATATTCAGTGAAATCTCCATACTGGAGTCAACTAAGATTGAACCGTATGGCAGACCTTGTCTTACCAGCTTGCTGACCAACCGGGGCGTGGCCGAACGAAACGGTGAGCTGGGTTAATTAAGGGTTGTTGTGTGGACAGTGCTCTCGATCGCTATCCAGTGAGCCCAACGTTGCAGCGAGCAGAACTGATGTCCGAATAGTCTAGCAGAAGAGGACCTAGTAACGGCACTTCCTTATGAAAAATCGTATCATCTTTGGAGGCTCGTTTAGTGTTACGACTCTGGGCATCATACGGGACCGCGAATGTAGTCTGCAAACCACGATTACCCACCCATTTGGGTGCCGCAGTCACTGCCAAAATTAATTTGCCTCCATTACCTCTAGGATCAATCTTCTAATGTCATACAGTGACCAAGTCTTTAGAGCAAAATTCTGTCTACTCCACTACCATATGATGCAGTCTTTTGAAGCAATGATTGGCTGTGAGAGGTAGCTCTAGAAATGAATAGCTGGAGATTTTCATCTATTCACAATTTCCCGTCGGTTTTCTTCTTTTCATGTCTCTCCGGATTTCTCAGTAGACCGCTGCAGCTAACTTTGAAACCAAAGTCAACGATGTAACTTCGTTGTCTTTCATAGTAATAATCCGGCCCACATTAGTTCGCCCCAGTTTCTTACTCTTTTTCAACTCCTTTGGAAGTTATGTGTACTGTATCTCTGAAGAACATATAAGCTGACATCATGGTGGTGAATTCGTTGATATTGACGTCTCCGTCCATAATGAGTCCTTAGTTCGAGTAGTACCATTTTCAGAAATGCTGATGGCAGTCTACTCAAATGGACTCTGTTAGTTAGCTGCATGGATATGGTTCAACTTTGGAGAGCCATAGAGATTAATGAGCTTATTATTATTATTATTATTATTATTATTATTATTATTATTATTTCACTTAATAAAGTGGAGTTCCATTAGCAACCTGTTATAATTGAGGGAACGCCGCCTCTTGATGTGATTGCGTAATTGCCTGATAAGGTTGTCGCTGGCACGGTTGGAGCACGCCTACGATGACGACTTGTAACGCTGGCCACTCGAACGGAGTTGCGCTGACCTGAGGACGCTAACTTAGCCGGTGAGACGGAAAATTGAGCGAGCATGTGAACGATCCTAGCCGCACGTGTTCGGATAGATGCTGAGCCCTCGTAACGGGCACACACGTGAGGGGGTTACGATAGACGCACGCTAATGACTTAGACGCAAAGGCTGGCCAGCTAACGACTCACACGCAATCACGTGACCCGACCGACTCCCAACTGAGGCGAAGATAAAGAAAAGGCAAGTGGTCCTCTGTAGGCTCTTTTACGACCAACAAAGGGCAATCACAGCCAGTGCTGTGGGTTATTAAGTTAGGGAAAACAGTCGCCCCGAAGAGGTGGTAGTTTGCAAATGAGCATTGTCGAAAGGTGCGCAGTTGGGCCGCGTCTTGGAGTGGCTGAGCGCTGCTGCGTTGTGGGGAGGAATTGAACCTCGATTTCCACAGCCATTCTGCCGGGGTTTTTGGCGCGTTTTTCGGGAAGATTTGACGTGCCCGCAACACAACCCTCACCATTTATGCTTATTGCAATGAGTTGAGCAATAACGATCGCTGCAGGTGACATGCAAAGTACCTACCGGGACCTTGACAGCGTTCAGTAGATGTTTTTCGGGACTGATGCATTCTTTGGAGATAGTGGCGTTAGGCTTCTTTAACCGTGTGCCGACTGTGTGCCTTGTGACCGCCAAACTACAACCATGACCTGGATCAGAGTTAACCATACTGCCAGCTTGTGCCAGACATCTCATGTCGGTTCAAGGTTGTGGCTCGACCTTTATTACTGGTTTGCATTCTTTTGGCTGTGTTGACAAGATCACTTTGTGTTAACTTTCTGCGTTCATTGGAAGTATTTTGTGGAAATTGAGCTACAATTCAGTTTCATTTCCGATTCTGAAATTTCCGACCAGAAATACTTGTGTTTTCATCGCTTGGTTTCGGCGATCTTGCTATCGCCATTTTCTTCGTCAATTGGCCGCCATCTTGTTTTCGAATTATTCACAATGCCGAAGCAGTCATACTGTGGTACTTGTTCCAAACTAGTCGGATACCGTGCAAATACCCTCACGTGTATTTTGTGCCAAGTTAAATACCACATTTCATGTGTTGGATTATCAGTTGAGCATTTTCATCGTCTTCGCGAGATCCAACACGATTTCATCCAAACTATATGTGAAAATTGCCGAAATAAGATACAGCCAGAAAGAGTAAAGCCGACGTGTAGGCCTCAGCGTTTCGTTGCGAACAGCTCCGTGTGTTTGGCCTAACAACCTAGCGCGAAGAGCCTTCAGGTTTCGGCTCAGTCGTCCTCCTCTACCCGTGCAAACTCCCCGACACGAAGTCCAACCGTTGTGAGAAGCCCAGTTGCACCTGGCCTAAATTGTTTACCTTTGTTGTGTCCACCGGACACTGATGTCCCAGCAGGTGAAAGTCTGAGTGCTGAAGACCAGTGGAAAGAACAGAGGACGAAATTACGAAGGAACGTTTTGCGTTTACGTTCTGTAAGTCAACAGTTAACCAAACCACTTGAGGCTGGTAGTATACTTCACCCAGCAAAGCCAATCTCGTCCCACCAGAGGCGTTATAATCTCATGATATTTCACGCACCGGAGTCCAGTGATCCATCACCCCAAGTGCGCTACGATCACGATGTCGAGTTTTTACAGGGTCTAATTGATAGACTCCTCGACGCTAGTGAGGATTCAGTAAAAGTGAGGCAGATTACCTGTCTGGGAAAGCAAAGTGATCAACAAAATCGGCCTATGAGAATCACTTTTGTGGATGAAGCCAGTCCAAGACTGATCATGTCTCGCCTAAGTAGGCTGAAAGGTTTGAAGATCCTTGTTCGTCCCGACCTGGACCCAGTAGACAGGGAGCGGCTCAAGTCTGCCATCATTGAGTTGAAAAGGCGCGCTGGTGAGGGGGAAACAAATCTTCGTATCGTAAATTTTCGGGTGGTTTCCAACCATCCGCGAATCAGGATAAACAGGCTGCTCACACTTCAAGCACACCCGGTGGCTCCCGCTGCGGCCTGCGAGTAGCCTTCACAAACGTTTGCAGTATTATGAATAAGCGCGATGAGCTTTGTTGTTTCGTTGCGTCTGAGCGGCCAGACGTAGTGGGACTCGCAGAGACATGGCTGCATGCAGAGTTATACACCCAAGAACTTGAACTCAACGGTTACTCGTGTTTCCGATGCGATAGACTAAAGAATGCCCACGGTGGTGTCTTACTTTACATCCGGTCTTCTCTGCGTGGGAGACTTGTGAGCACCTACCGAAGTGACGATGGCCTGTGTGAGCTACTGTGGTGCTCCATCCGCCTCAGGCGCGGAGAACTGCTTGTGGGCGCAGTTTATCGCAGTCCCCTGAGTCGTTGTTTGGATTGGCTGCCCCATCTTCAAGCCCACATGAGTCGTCCACACTTTCTGCTTATGGGCGATTTTAACTGTCCTCGAATACGATGGCCTGATGTGCATTTGATGCCTGGACATAGTGAGGTTGAAGCAAAGTTCGTGGATTTGGTACTTGAAACTGGTGCATCGCAACACATATGCCAGCCAACACGCATATCAACACGTTCAACCTCGTCCTGTCTCGACGTGATATTAACGAGCTACGAACAACGAGTGCGTGACATTAGGATTCTGGAGCCCCTAGCTACGAGCGACCACTCAGTACTGATAGCTGATATGGAATTATCTTTGCCGTATTCACATCCGCTGCAACCTGCTCCCAACTACTGGAAAACGGACTGCTATGGTCTAGCTCGAGCCGCGAGCCAACTGGATTGGTCTCTGTCACAAGCTGCATCTGTGGAAGATTGTTGGATATTTATAAAAGAGAGATTGACGTCATTGTGTTCCCAATTCGTGCCATTGAAATGTCGAAAGGTTAGACCGATTAAGCCTCATTGGTTTGACAAGGAGTATGGAAACCTGGCTCGGAGGCGGCGCAGACTGCGGGACAAATTCCTTCTCTCTGGCTCTGCCAATGATTACGAAGGGTACAAATGTCAGCGGAACCTCTGCAACAGTGCGAAAAAGAATAAACGCCGACACTTTGAAGTGCAGCTCGCATTAGCCGCGAAGACCGCCCCCAAGAGAATCTTTGCATACGTGAAGCGACGCCTAAAGCCGGCAGGTGATGTGCCAGTGCTGGATGGCACGGATGGACAACCCCTAACCTCCAGCACTGAGCGTGCGTCCGCGTTGGCGGCGCACTTCGCTTCTGTGTTTGCGAATAATCAGGTGTCTGTTCCGAGTTCGACGTGTACCGCTTTTACCGAACTCGATAGTCTGCATTGCGGCGTTGAAGAGGTAGCTCAACTACTCGCCAACCTTGACGGCACCAAACCTGCCGGACCTGATGGGTTTCACCCACTGGTTCTCAAGTCACTTT